GTTAAATACAGTACAGTATATACATTATAAATGACTAACGTCATATTACTATTCTGGAAATAAGCTGTCTTGGTTAGGCCAGTACATCACACTTAACACAGCCAGAGTAAAGTGGTACTAGTGGTTCCTAGCTGAGCCTATACCTAGGCCTACCTTAAGGCTCATGAATCTAGTAGAACATTTCTGCAAAAATTGTAATATGGTATTTGCTTGGAAAAAGTTTGAAGATCCAACCTGCCTTAGTTTAGAGTCAAATTCTGTACAAAATCCAAGGAAAACAGGGACATAATAAAGCAAAGAAATTAGAACAAAAATACAGGATTTTCTGCAGTAGTAGAAAAGGCCAAATAAAAAATAAAAAAAATACAATATAGTAACAATAATATTAAGAAGTTCATAGGGCATTATTTAATCTAAATCTCTTTTTAATTATTTTATGAATGTTTAAATTTCATATTTTTCTTCCCTATATTATATGTTATTTTATATACTTTATCGTATTGTTGTTGGCCAGGGGTTTAGAAATGACCACTTGATGTGTTGGGCTTTAGCTTGCGTCATCTCTAGTCGCGCCTCTGGTCAATATATATTTATATATATTGTAACAAATTTTTAATAAATAAATAAATAAAAATAATAAATCTAAATTCCAATGTTTATTTACAATTTTGTATACCGATCTACTAAATTATGGAATAAACTCCCGGATCATACTAAAACCAACTTTAAATCTATGACACTTTCAAATTTTAAGCATTCTATTTCTAATCCTCAATAACACCATCTTAATTTAACCTGATTTTCTCTTACCTTGCATATCCATATTTATTATTTAAATTTTGTATCTTTCTTTTTAAGTTTCTTTCAATGTTCCTTTTAAATCTATTTTAATTTGTCGTTAAGTTATCCATATTTTTTGGTTACCATATGTATATATCTGCTTTTAAAATTTTGTAGTTAAGAACTGAACCACTTTGGAAACCAGTACTATGTATTGAAAGTGTATATTCAGTATAAAGAAAGAATAAATAAATAATAACTAAGTATAGCCATACTATCATCGACATCCTCCATGCATCATCAGGAAGCATCAATTGTCATGCAGCACAAAAATTATCATGTTAAGGCGGGCACTTACTGCGCACCAGACAGTCATCGGTAAGCGCGATTCAACAAAGAATGCAGTGGCATGACGAGCGTGCAACGGATCGTTTTTAATGAACATCCGTTCAGATTGTCGCTGACAAGCAGCAGACAAGCGTCGCATTGTCTAGCGCTTACAGGGAGCAAAGTTGGATTTGTCGTACGGCAGTTGTACGATCCTCATAAGATGCAGCAAGTGCCCAGCTTTAGGTTATTATTACTTTACCTTGCAGATTTTTCATCTTTTGAAACTGAAGTTGCTGTTCCATTAGATATTTGCATATCCGATGTCACATTCATCTCCTTTTCTTTCTCTTTATTTTCCACTTTACTTGAATATTGTTTGCCTTTCTTACTGCTTCCTTGCGTATCTTTTGTATGTTCTCTACTTGCTGTACCACTCCTTTGACGGCCTACGCCGTTTGACGTACTGTGTTTATTATTTTTCGCTAGTGTTTGCTCATTCACTAGGTTTTCTGTTGTTCCTTCATAGCTATTCACAATGCGTTGTGTTAATTTTATTTCTTCTGGTTCTCCTGTTTTTAAGTTCACATTGTTTGTTGAAGTAGGTTGTTTTGAACTATCCTTATCTCTGTCTTTAGCATTTTCAACTTCAACTGATTTCGGTGATGGTGATCCCTTAGGTTTGACATTACTGTTTGTTTGAGAACAGTCCTTCTCTTCCGACTTGGACAAAATAGCTGTAACAAAATTTATTGGAATTGTTAGTTAATAAGTCATTATGTCCAGATACAATATATAATGATGATTTACTTATTTACTTCATCAACTTTAAAATAGCGCAACCATTTTAGTGCTAGATACTGCTTTTCAAACAGATCCTCATTATGAAACTAAAATACATGGACATATGAAACAACCCACTACATAATAAGAAGTTAAAAGATGATGTTGATGACAATGATGTTGATGATGGGTTGGTGATGACAATGATGTTGATGATGATGAAAATGATGTTGATGATGGTGATGATGTAAATGATACTGATGGGTGTTGGTGTACAGTAGGACAACAAGATGTTGATGATGATGATGATGACAATAAAAATGATAGTGATGATAGTGATGATGATGATGATGATGCTAGTGGTGGTAGATAAAAGGACGGAATGGTGATGATGAAATGATGATGATACTGATGTGGTTAAGATGATGAATGATGATGATGGTAATTATGAAGTTGATGACAATGATAATGATAAAAATGATGATGATGACAATAATGATGATGATAATAGTGCTAATGAAGATGATGATGGTATAATAATAGTGTTGATGAATATGATAATTATACTATTGGAGATAAAGATGGAGATAAAGTTGAAGATAAAGATGGAGATGACGATGAAGAAGCTGATGAAGATGCTGATAAAGATGAAGATGATACTGATAGTGAATATGATTTTGAGAAAAACAAGGGCAATAAGAAGGGAAGACCAATATAGATTGCAAGATGTTTACCAACAATACCAAGACCATCTTCCATCCAAGGACCCACTAAACATGACCCAAAGAACATGCACAATGACATTACCTTTAGTTTTTTCTGCTGTATTTTGCTGCTGTTCTTGCGGTAGAGCTTGATGTAGGAGCTGCATATAAAACTCATTTTCTTTTTCTACTTCTCGTTGTTTCCGCAATCGCATTTTATATCCAACATAACTTTTAAAACCAAAACCAAGTGTTACTACAGGATATCCAATGCTGTAATAGAGAAAAAGACAAAAAGAGAATCAAAATTTGCTCACAAAATTTAATAGAATAAAAGACAATTAAGCATTTTTAATTCCAATAATAACAATATTAATGGCCATCTACTCAAAATATTCACCATTGTAATAATTATAATAATAATAGTGTAGTTTTATGTAGCGCTATATCCATCAAATAAGATGCTCAGGGCACTTGATATGTGGACTAGGAACATGATTGATGACTTTCTCCGCCCCTAAGGGTCCCTTCGTGTCTATGCTACCAAGTAACCCGGTACCAGCAAATCTCGTCGTCCACCACAGGAGCTGTCTGTTCCAGTACACCAAGGTATCCCTATATTCATCTCGAATGACGTACTGGGTTCTATATAGTGCACATGAGCCACTGTATATACTGGGCCTACAGTTTTTAATCCATATCCAAGAAGACTTGTTCTACGACCAGAACCATAAGTGAGTGTGCCGTTTGAAACAGTGCTGATATTATGGCTGTAGGTCGAGGCACCATTGCTAACTCCTCGACCATTTGCCTCGCTACAATGTGAAACCAGCGAAAGCTATTAAGCTACATAAAATCAGTGTTATTATATAATGGAGTGATAATTTTAATACTGTATTAATATTACTGTTAATAATATAATAATAATTATTATATGTTCTGAAATTAAATCAGTTGTCTCATAAATTGCAGTTATATTTTTTGGCTGGCTCATACTGACCCCTTTTGCCATCCATACTAAAATTGGCAGCTATCCAATGGATAGCAATATTTTTTGTTTACATTCTTTATTGAATGTTATTCTCATTAAATTGCAAGTGACTTGCCACTTGCATGATCAGATACATCTCATGATGCTCAATAAAGCAAAGGCAGTGATTTATGTAGATGATTAGGCTTTCTATAGTATTATTCATACAGAAAACCATTTGAACTACCCAGTTCTATGAATAGGGTAATACAATATCTTGAAATTATAGAATTAAAATTGATATTCAAAATTAAACAAGAAATTGTTAAATTTGTAGTGACATTTGGAATTATAATCGAATAATATTATTAACTTGTAATGCGCCAATTCCAAGAATGATCAAAAGGCGCAGTGTATGATCGAAGCTGTGAAGGAAATCGAGTTTAAAGGGCAGATGTAAATGTAATGGGAGTATACACATCT